TTCAGACGTGTGCTCTTCCGATCTGGCCCCGTCCTCTCCATCGCTTTCCCCCGCCCCTCCCACCGCCCTCACCCCGCCCATCGCCGTTCCCGCTTCGATTTCGACTTCCGACTTCGACCTCCCTCGCCCACCTACCTTCCTCCGACGCGGTCCCCCCGCCATGCGACGAAATCCGCCCGCTCGACGGCTGGGGGTCTTTGCCGCAGCAGCGACCCTCGCTATGGCCTCGTCCTCGGCCCCCGACAGCTTTCCGATGGTAGACTTCGCGCGCATGGGCACCGTCAACCTGGGAGGCGCCTTTTCAGGACTCGACTGGTTCTCCGAGCAGTCACCGTTCGCCGCGGCGTCCTCGTCATCTAGTGGAACGACGTTCTCATCAACAGGAGACACGCTCGTCGCGCGGAGTCCAGACGGATCGTACACGGTGGTTGCTTCTGCCAATGCTGGCGGAACCATCAACGCCCTCTGTTACTCGTCTAAGGACGACACGTTGTATGCTGCAGGCAACTTCTCGTCACTAGCATCAACATCCACATCCAACATTGTCGCCTACTCGCTGTCGAAGAAGGAGTTCAGCGCTCTGCAATCAGGGATTCCAGGGACTGTCGACACACTCTACTGCGATGACGACCACCACGAAGTGTGGGCAGGTGGAACATTCGCAGCACCGCAAGGAGGCAGTGGCGCTAACGTTGCGCGGTGGGACACCGAGTCCAAACAATGGACAGAAGTGCCCTTCGGAGGATTGAACGGTCATGTGGACGCCATCGCTCCGAATCAGGACGGATCAAGTCTTTACTTTGGCGGAGAGTTCACAACGCAGTACGCCGACACGACGAATACGACGTACCAGCTGCTCCGATCAATACCGAGCGCACCGAACAACACTGTCACCACTGGCAAGTCTGGGTACCTGACGCCGTTCACGATTCCGGAGCAAGCATCGCAGTGGTCCGGTCTCCAGATCAACGCTGGACCAGCATCGACCAACAGCCAGTACAACGACCAAAAGGCGCTCGTGTGCCCCGAGAGCGGAACGTGGATGGCCCGTGACGGTTCCCCCGCCAAGATCGAGATCCTCAGTCACGCCTACCTGACCGGAGCAGGCATTCGAATCTCCAACGGCCACGTTGGCCAGAGCACTTCGAAGACGTTCACGGTCATAAGCCTGCCTGACAACCACAAGCTGGCTCTCACCTACACGGATCCTGAAACAGGGCGCGATGCGACCTGCACCGACGACTGCCCCCTCTCCACTGACCCGAATGTTGGCGCACAGGACTTCCTTTTCGCCGACGGCTCCCTTTCGATCACCGGTTTCGACGTCCACATCACCTCGTGACGGCGACGCGGCTGCGCTCAATTACATTGAGCTCCTTTCGGATGGCGCATACTCGTCGGCAGTTGAGGCCGAGAACCACAGCTTATGTGGACGATCAAACAACAGGGTCAACGCCGCAGGCAACTGGGAAGCCGGTGAATCCCCGTCCGAGATCGCCGGTACCGTTGGTGGATACCTGAAGGCCGACGTTCCCAAGTCGGGCAACTCTGACTCATCTCTCACACTCTACCCCTGGGTCGGCTCCTCCGCGTTTTACGACATCTACCTCGTCATTCCCGGGTGTAACAACCTCGGTGACTGCGCTACCCGCACCTCTGTCGATGTGTCTGTGTTCCCTGCACAGGACACTGGTGCCTACCTGTCAAATGTTCAGGAGAGGGTCGAGGACTACACTCGTGTCAAGATCTACTCTGGTTGGGTGGAAGCCTCGACTGATGCTTTCAGCCCGACGATCAACGTCAAGCTGGCCCAGAACCCAACCGGTGTCGATGGAGACAACTATGTGCTTGTCGCTAGCGGCGTTGAGCTTGTCTTGACCGGTGTGGAGGCCAACGGACAGATGCCTTTCCCTGGCTCGACTACCACTCGTGGCCAGGTGACGGTCGCCAATGGGCAGGGCATCTCCACGCCTGCAGTCCAGTTCACTGGCACTGCCTACACCACCCGCACCGACGGCGTCGTCATGAGCGGCACCATGACAATGACTGCTCCCCCAACCCTGATCACTACCAACACGACGAGGGTGAACCAGACTCGCACGGAGATCCGCAACTCGTACGGTGTTTTCGAGTGGCCTCGTTCTTCCAATGTCAAGACCGACTCGCTCATGCCGAACTCGACCGAAACCACGCTCACACACATCGGCTTCGCACTCGCCATGGCCAAGAATGCCTCGGCTGACGGTAACCAGTTCAAGATCAACACCATCAACGAGCTCAAAGACTACATCTTTGTCGGTGGCAGGTTCACTTCCAGGACGGGCAGCATCTCGAATGTCTTGACTATCAAGAAGGACGAGGCTTCCCCTGCTGCTCTCGCCAACGACGGTCTCAACGGCCTCGTTAACACCGCTACCGTGGCGGACAACTCGATCTACTTTGGTGGAGAGTTTACCGGCACTGCTCAGGGCAAGACGGACCTCAAGTACATCGCCAAGTACGACCCCGAGGCCAAGTCTTGGAGCCCGGTCGGTGGTGGCGTTGACGGCCCTGTCAAGTCGATTAGGGCTATCGACGGCGGACTGCTCGTCGGAGGCGACTTCAACAACGTCATGTCGAACGGCAGCTCTTCCGCATCGACAGGAGGCTTCGCCGTCTACAACTTCTCGACCTCGGACTGGAACGACTCCGGCATCATCTACGGCAATGGTTCGGCATGCCTCGACGCCAAGGACGGCTTCGTCGCAGGTCGCTTCACTGGGTTTTCCCGCAACTCGGCCCAGGGCATCGCCTCGATCAAGTCGAGTAACGGCAAGCCGGCATCGATCGAGCCTGTCAAGGGTGCCACCTTCACTCCAGGATCGGGTTCCGGCAAGGCTTCCAATGCCACGAACCAGAAGTCCCGTCGGGGCTTCATTTCGCACTTCCGTCCGCGTATGCTGTCTGCTCGAGCGGATGCGCCCGCCATCAACGACCCTCCCGCGATCGCCCCTGCTACGCTTACTGGCGCGTACTGGGAGAACGGTAAATCTCATGTCGTCGTTCTCGGCGGAAACTTCACTGCGCAGGACAACACCGTTCGGGGTGTCGCGTTCCAGGAGGGCGAGAAGCTCACTGGCCCGTCGCCCCCTGTCGACGGCGTCGTCCGTGCGCTCGAGGTCCATGCTGACACGCTCTACGTTGGTGGCGAGGCTCTCCGCGTTGACGGATTGTCCGACTCTGGGGTCTACGTGTATGACCTGAAGGGAAAGGAGTGGCGCAAGAACTACATTCCGCCGCTCGCCACTAAGACTGGCGACCCGACCGTCAACTACATTCGCAACCGTCCGAAGACTGACGACGTCATTGTCGCGGGTGACTTTGCCACTGCGGGCTCGCTCTCTTGCGCAGGCATCTGCATGTGGCAGAACAACCGCTGGCAGTCGCTCGGCAGTGGTCTGCAGAATGGCGAGGTGAAGAGCTTTGGGTTTGCTGAGGAGAAGGCGTCTAGCCTCTTCGTCGGTGGCTCCTTTACGCTCGACAACAAGCCCACGTACGCCGCCCTGTTCAGCTTTAACAACCAGACCTGGACTCCGCTGAACGGCCTTCCTGGCCCCGTCCTCTCCATCGCTGTCGATGACAACAAGGCTTCCAACGTCTTTGCCTCGGGATACGGCGAAGGTGACAACAAGCCGTACCTGCAGCGCTGGGACGGCTCCTCGTGGAGCGAGCAGAACTCGTCGGCTCTGCTCCCCGGCACGAACATCAACAACCTTGCGTTTGTACCCCTCAGCGAGGGCCACAAGCACGAGGCTAGGGGCGCGATCGAGGACAACCGTCTGCTGATGGCCACCGGTCAGGTCCACCTCGCGCAGACCGGCAACGTTTCCTCGGCCCTGTTCGACGGTGCCAAGTGGATCCCTTACATGGTCGGCTCGACGGCTGCCGGCACGCTCGGCGCCGCCTCGGGCTTGTTCTACTCGGACCGCTTCTTCAACTTTGAGGTGCACCACTACCTGGACCGCGGCATCGTCGTTCTCGTCGCCATGGCGATCGCGACGGCGCTCATTCTGCTGCTCATTCTGCTCATTCTCCTTGCCGCATACTGCATGCGTCGGTACGAGCGCCGCCACCGCCCACAGGAGATCTACGAAAAGGCTCCGTCGGAGGTGTCGTCGACGCACCAGATCATGCTGAACAGCGTGCAGACAGCGCTGGAGCAGTCACTCCTGACGCCTGGTGGCGTCGCACGTGCCGGCGCCGCGGGCGGTGTGGGCAGCCTTGCCGCCGCTGGCGCAGCCAAGCGACGGTCGTCGCATCGCGACTCGGACCACTCGCACTATACCGACGAGGAGGAGCACCACCGACCAGATGCGGATGAGTTCCTCGCCGCGGGCGCGGGCTCGGATGCCGACTCGGACGACGGCGGCCGCGAGACTGTGATGCGGTACGACTTTGGCGGCCCCGACCTCGAGACGGGCGAGCTGTCGATGCGCGCGGGCCAGCGCGTCATCATCCTCGACGACGAGCAGAGCGAGGAGTGGTGGTACGCCCGCGACCCAGCAACGGGACGCGAGGGTGTCGTCCCCGCAACCTATGTTCTGTAAAGTCTCTTCCTCTTCTTCCTCTTTTTTTCTTCCATTCTCAAACGGGACAATCAATACAATGAACCAAGCCGCCAGCCGATTACCTGATTTCCACTTTCTTAGTTACCCTCCCCTATACCACACTTGTCACCCCCTGCTGGCATGCAGAGCTTTTTGGCCCTTGGCTTCGTCACAACTATACAACGCACCCTTATAATTCTGTTTTCATATGGAGGATGCACATCGTTCTTTGGCGCGAATACGAGGGTAGCCCGAGCGCAGCGAGGGCCGAGTGAGTCTACAACTAAGATCACAGCAAGCACCGAGGCTAGAGAGACCATATCCTTGTTGACGATGGTCTCATCGACCACAACAGACCACAATAGACCACCGCGGGTACGCTGACCCTCTAAAGCGCTCCTCATCCAGACAGAGGAGACCTTTTCGTCATCGTGACGATCAAAAGAGGACATGAGGACAAGGGCAAAAGATGAATGCCTTCTACCCGAATCGAACGGGTGACCGTTCCATAGCAACACTCCACAGAGGAGAAGACTACTAGTGGAAAATTCTAGCCACTGAACTAAGAAGGCCTCACTGGCTGCTTTCCTTCCACAAAAAATATATTCGGTGAAGAAGTCACGTGACTGGTTGTGGCAGTCTTGCCCGCGTCGTACGGTTAAGAGACGGGCGAGAATACGGGTGCAAAGTACTGGGAGCAGAGACAGGGATGAGTAGGAGGGCGAGTTGCAGGAAGGAGGGATGTGTGAGAGTGTGTAACCTGTCGCAAGAATGGTGGGACGCAGACGTATGTTTTGCGGGGGCTCTGGGGTTGTCTTTTGAAACGGGGCTGGGTACGCTCCCTTGCTGGGTTGGGGGAGACGCTGACGCCTCTCGTCTTGTGAGAGGGGTTGAAAAAAGAGATGATACGACTCCATAGTAGCTCACCATTTCGCAGCTCGTCCCCAAGGTCGGTATTGCAAACCATGTAATGACGGATGCAAGCAGCAGCTTGTGTACCCGGTGTCTGGTCAGTTGGGGCACAGACGTACGCTCCGGGGAGTCTGGCTCTCTGGCTGTTGTCCCTTGAAACAATGCCGAGTACTCCCCAATCGGTGGAGAAGACGGTGATGCCTCTCGTTTGCTGATGAGGCGTCGAAGAAAGAGATGTTAAGGTGCCTTAGTATCTCATCATTTTGCAGCTCGCTGTTAAAATGGCCAGCGTAAGTGGATCAATATCTTTCCCCAGGGACTCACCTGGACATCCTCGCCGCTCGAATTGGGAGCGCGGTTGTCGTCGTTTCATCTTGGATGGGCTCAGGAGGAGAATGGGCCCAGTTGGAGACACAAGACAGGCGTGGAGGATGCGGCACACCATGCCTGTCCGCGGAGTCGACATGCGGGCCGGGCAGTCCCACCGCCCTCGATGGCCGGCACTTGGGCTCGACTCACGGGCACGCGCAAGTTCCTGCCAGATCCACATCGTGTGGCCACACTCTGGGCACACTCTGGGCAGTGCAATATTCGCACACCTCGACTCCCCCTTCGAGCCATGGGGCGGTGGGAGTGCAGATGGTGCGAGTGGTGTAGATGTGCGCAGTCTCTGTGGCCGGCTCTCCAATGTGCCCCCATGTCGTGCTCTCCGTGGGATCCCGAGTCCAGTCCCACCCCAACCTCGCGATATATAATTCTCTCGTCAATCTCTCCCCTTTTCTTTTTCTCCCCATTCCTCAAGACCTGCCTTTCCTTCATCAACCCCTCATCAACTGCCGAGCACTCATCGCAACCCTCAACAGCAATATCCTGTCCGCCACCGCCGACATTCTTCTCCACAGGCGTCGTGGACGGTCCCTGAGCAACCCTCCTCAGCAGACTTACGATGCCCCCGCCCATCGAGTATAGGGCTTCTCCATCTGAAGGCGCGCCCTCGAGCCTGATGCCTGCCATTCCAACCCCCCGAAACTCGAGCGAAATGTCGTCGTCCCCTAACCAGGACGAGGCGGAGAAGCGCGCGGGTCGCCAGCACCCCGCTGCGTCCGTTGCGACTGCCCTCACCCCTCACGCCGACCCCACTCCCGAGCAGCCCAAGCCGGGCGTCTGGCGTCTCTTTCGAGCGATTCTAGCCCGCATTCAGCCCGCCACCAAGAACGACCCCAATGAGGATCACGCCACCAAGAACGGCCACACCCCGGAGCACGCGGAGTACACCACGCAGGCCAACACGGGCGACTATCTCTCACCTCGCTGTCCGTCTCTTTGCGGCTGCCACCGCTGTGTTAAGGTCTCCAACGCGCTGTTTCCCCACCCTCAGCCGCGTCTGCCCCGCTCGACCCCTATGCGCACCTCACAGCCCGAGAACATCAAGCAGGAGAGCTCCTGCGACAACTATAACGGTCGCAACGATCGCGAGACTCTCCAGCTCACCGACCACCAGCCAGATGGGGCCTACCTGGTGGTCTTGGACGTCGCAACCGAACTTCGTCACCTCGACGACCTGAGCGACAACGCTGGCAGCGCCGGCAACGTCAACGAGTCTGACCAGCTGTGCGTGTGCAACTGCTGTCCACACAACGGACGCAGCCTGCCCAATGACTCTGACTGGATCACGACCAAGAGTGACCAGACCATCACGATCGACAAGATCGTTCAGACCGAGCCCAGCCACGAGCACCCTCACGACCAGCCCCCCTCGCCTGCCGACCAGCCTCAAACTCGCGGCCCCGAACGTGCTCCCCTCGTGCACTTCGCCCACCACGCCCGCCTCGCCGTGCTCAACACCGCGAACGCCGTCCAGTTTGCGAACAGGGGTCTGCAGCTCCTGATGAAGGAGCAGAAGGACCGCCTTGCCCCCGCCCGCGTCGGGCCCGGCGAATCGATCTGGATTGCGCTGCTCGACGCCTTCCTTGCCTGGCTGCTGCAGCCCGCTTGGCGCATCTTGATGGCCGAAACCCGCCAGAAGGCGCGTGCGGGTTTCGGCGTCCACCACGGGGTGCGCTTCATCTTCCTCCGCGCTGGCATCCACCAGACGCTCGTCATGGTCGGTGCGCTCATGTTCCTGCTTTGGGTGATCGGCACGTGGATGTACTTTGCTGGAGTCGAGTTCGTTGTCGTCATGTCCGACGGGTCGGAGTATGCCAGCTCTATGGAGTACTTCAAGGAGTAAGTCGTCGTCATCGTTGTCAGTGACGCTGACGCGCAGTTGGATTTGGAGCCTCACCCCCCTCTTGGGCTTCCTGTATCTGCTTGAAAACGCCGCGAACGCGGCCCAGATGCAGGCCGCGTACAATCTCTGTCAGATGCGTTCCGCCGCTATTGCCCGCGCCCATCAGGAGTTGCGCGAGCAGGAAGCCGAGGCTGAGGTGATGGAGGCGCATCGTTTGGAGAACAAGCGCAAGGAGGCCGCGGGGTGGGCGCTCGAGTGCGCCGAAAGGGAGGCAATTAGTCCGTGGTGGGTCGAGAGCGAGGGCAGTGATTAGTGGAGAACAAAAGATGTGTACCATATGGACGCGGGCGTTATAATTTTCGGATAATGGAATGAAATTGTGATAAACCCAGCTCCTGACGATGGCGCAGCGTGTAACGCCTTATCCACTACATACAGGAGTGCAAACCATGAGAGAGAGAGCAGTTACATGACCGGGAGGTACAGTGAGTAGACATGTGAGTGTTTCTCTACGCCCGCAGGAGATGTTGCCTGGCTAAATGGAGCCTCCGCGCTGATTCCGATATGACTGAAGGTCATCGCCACCGACGTCAGAAGCCTTGGTTTAGCCGCGGGATGATCGTCGCTTACCTCGGCAGCATTTGTCGTTACAACATGGCACTGGATATCGGGTCTCCAGCTCTCTACACCTCTCTACCTCGGAGATTATCGACGACCAGGATGAAGGCTGCACCCTGAGATTCAGCAACCCAGTCGGCCGGTGCCGGCCGGTACACCAGTCCGATTTCACGGGTTTTGGACGAGACAGCTGCACCGCGTAAGCTTGCGAAACGTGGTCAAGGCCGAGTTGATTCGGGTGAGAACACGAAGCTCGCAGGCTCTGCTCTTCGTGTTGTTCCACTTGTACGGGGAGGATGGTCGGTGTGATTCCACTTGTCCAGCGAGGATGGTTGCTGATATCTGCCTGACACCACTTACCACTTCTCCGATGACGAGGAATTTGTCGATGGCATTGCATTTGTTCGATACGAGGTTGAAGACCTGCAAAGTCCTGCAGAGGTTGTCATGCCCGTCTTTGCGTGCGTTTGCGGACACGGCTGTCAGCGTTTGCCTAGGGAGCATCAAGGAGGGTCAACAACTTCCTCCTCGCAAGCATTAGGAGGTGCGATAGGGATTTCGTCGGACTTGTCCGACGACTGGCAATGTGTTCACTGTTGTCGGTTCGAATTCTTTCTTCCGCAGACAACATCGCTGCTCCGTGAGTGCATTCCGAAAAGAGGGTTGACCGATAGCGGCTGGGTAAGCGACTTCACCACCTGCTGCGCAAACATATTGGGTCCCTCCGGCGTTCAGGAGACTAAGGTCCACCACCAGCACCTGCTTCCCAGCGGCCAGGGAGATAGTCGATACGACAATCGGACAATACGACAGTGGGCAAGCAAGTCCGTAGAGGGTATGAACAATGGCACGCACGGGATTCACGCATCTAACTCCGGAGGCTTTATAGGGCTCTATCTCAGCTCGCGGATGAGGGGCATTCGCGAGCCCAGATCTGGACAGGTTTTAAATACACGACCGTGGAGCGCGGTAACTGACGGTACTCTCGATGTCAGCGTGTTAGACGACGCCAGGCTCTCGTCTAACCTGAAGGGCTTCGCCGAGGTGGGGCGGGTTACCGATGAGCTCGTGAATAAGCCCCTGCCCCTGTGGGCTCTCGTGCGCGGCAGTTGCAGCAATGTGGGCAATCAGCTGGTCTTGGCCTGCTAAATCGGGAACACCTGCGGCAACCAAGCGACAAGCGACCATTTCCCTGGTTTCCTCCTCCACCCTAGAGTTCTGCATCTGCAAATTCTCCTTTCACTCTCGCTTGCATTCCTTCGGCGGTCGCCTCCACTTACACGATGCTTGTTGCCGCGGCGGGATGCTGCATTCCAGGCACCGGCAGGCCCAGGCTGGAAACGGTCCCACCCGGCCCCACCGCGCCGACATCCCTGCTGATCGCCTAAACAACTCGCTGACGTTTGAGGCAGGCACACGATAGGTTCCGGAACACGTCGTCAGACTTCTCCTGCTACGCTCCCCGCAGGGACTATGCAAACTGGAACGCGGGGTCCTCGGCCCCGTCTGGGACACTTCCTGAGAGCGCACTTTACCGGCGGTAGCGGGAAAGTGCTCTATCTTCGCACGCGCCCTGCTGACGTTGTAATGTTGGGTTCAGGTCCAATGTGACAGCGAGGGAATGGAAATGTCGACGACGGCGACTAAATCAGGAGTGCTTTGCCCGCAAGATGGACTAGGCTATAAAGACTCGAAGTCCGTTGCTTGGTTTGTTGCCTGACCCCAGACAGCCTCGATCAAACACCATCTTGGGTTCTACACTAGCCCGTCTCATCTTTGACACGTGCCGACGCCGACAGAGTAGCTAAGACACTCGACGAAGACAACTCCGGCGCACCGAACAGTAACAATGGGCATCGAGGAGAAGCCAGTCATCGAGCACGTCGAGAGCGGCAGCACCAACCTCGGTATTGAGGAGAAGCCCGCCGACTATCATGAGCAGTACCACATCGATCCGAAGAAGGAGCGCAAGCTTCTGCGCAAGCTTGACCTCGCGATTCTTCCCATGACCGTCCTCATGTACTTGAGTGCCCAGCTCGACGTGAGTACCCACAACTTGCCGATGACTAACCAGCCAGCGTGGAAACCTCGGAAACGCGCGGCTGCAAGGACTACAGGCTGAGATCCTCGACGGCTCCGACACCAAGTACAGCGTTACGCTGCTTGCGTTCTACATCACCTATGTTCTGGGCTCTATCCCGGGCACGCTTCTGTCGAAGGCGATCCGGCCTAACCTGGCTCTGGGAGGAGGGTGCATCATTTGGTGAGTTTGCGATTCCAGCCCGATTCCTGGTTCCTTGGAGCCAAACGAGGCTCGGCATGGGGCCTGGTATTGTGGAGTGCAGGGTTGTGGCGGGGATCGGTCGTGACGATTTCGGCGCTGCACCAAGGCACACGACTCCACCATGATCCTTGTTGGTTTGTGTTCGGGGCGCTCTTCCTCCTGATTACCCGGATCATCTTGCCTGCCGCTTCAACTTCTTGATCGAGGGCTCAGCTGACTCTCAGGGCTACCGCTGCGACCTGCTTTGCCGCCTCGCAGAACTTTGCGGGCGCCGTTGTCTGTCGTCTCTTCATCGGTCTCGGCGAGAGCATGTTCGGACAGGGCATTGTGCTGCACTACTCTCTGTGGTACCGGAAGAACGAGATCTCGAAGCGCCTCTCATTGTTCATTGGCATGGGTGCTCTGGCCGGCGCCTTCGGTGGTCTTATCGCTTACGGCGTGGCGCACATTAAATCGCACATGGAGACATGGCGCATCCTGTTCCTGATCGAGGGCCTGCCGTCGTTCGTGCTCGGATGTCTCGTCGTCGCCTTCCTCCCCTCTCGGCCCGATCGCAGCAAGTACCTGAACGCGGAGGAGACTGAGCTCGAGATGGCTCGCCTCGCCTCTGAGCATCTCGACGAGGGCGACGACGGCATCGACTGGAACGGCGTCAAGCGCGCTGTCACTGCTTGGCAGACTTACGCCGTCACCTTCATCTTCTCGTGCATGCAGCTCCTGCTGGCTTCGCTCGGCGGCTTCTTCCCGACCATCATCAAGTCGCTCGGATACACCGACACGGATGCTCAGCTTTTCACTGTTCCGCCTTACGCCGTTGCGTTCGTTGCCATGATGTTCATCAACACGGCGAGTGACAAGATGCGCATTCGTGGTCCTTTCGTTGCTGGTGTCTTCAGTTTGAACGTTGTCGGCTTCGCCACCCTCCTCGGCACCGAGAACATGAAGGCACGCTACTTTGCATGCTTCTGCATTGTCCTTGGATGCTACTGCGCCATTCCTCTCATCCAGAGCTGGGTTGCGAACAACTGTGGCTCCCAGTCTCAGCGCGCTGTCCACCTCGGATACCTCAACTCGGTCGGAAACTATCCCGCGTTCATTGCCCCCTTCATCTTCCCGACCAAGGACGCTCCGCAGTGGAAGCTCGGATACGGCATCAACCTTGGCTTCTCAGCCGCTGCTATCGTCGTCGCGCTCCTCATGATCGCGTACTACAAGTACGAGAACGCGCGCAGGGACCGCGTCGAGGGCAAGCCTGAGCCCGGGCAGTTCATCGACGTCGTCAACCTTCACGACCTCGCGCCTGGCTTCCGCTACACCCTTTAAGCGTCCACACCAGTTTATAAGTCTATAACTCTCAGTCCCTCAATAAAGAAATCACCGGCAGAACGCCCTGTTTGTATCACTAGAACTTTCATGCATGACAAGCATCACCTACGGTGTTTTGGATAACTTCTGTGCCGCAGCTCACTGCAGCCACTGCTTGTATTTCTCCCTCAGCTCGCGAATGACTGCGACCGAGTCTCCCTGTGGACCCTGGACGCCGCCAGACTTGACGTTCTCCCACGGCTTCTCGACCTTCTCCATGAGCTCGCTCGCAAACGCGGTCTTGTTCCACGCCTTGGGTTCCGTCTTCAACAGGTTCTGGTAGAGCAGCTCCCAGCCCTTGGCGTACACCTCGCTCATGATACCGTGCCAGTGCTTGGCAGCGTAGCGGTCAAGGGGCCAGGGTGCGAAAGTAGCCGGACCCCACAGGATAAGCTGGTTGCGCGCCTGGAACTCCATGTCGTCCTTCGCTCCAGCGTCTTGCGCCCAGTTACGCGCGTCGCCGACCCAGCTCTCGAGCCGGAAGTGTCGGCTTGTCGCCATCAGGCGGTCAATGTCGTTGATCAGACCAACAAGCTCGCGGCCGTACTTCTCGGTGTCGGCCTTGTTACTTCCGTTCCAGGCGTTGATCATGGCTTGGTAGATCGGAATCGCGGCGTTGACGAAGACCTGTCGCGCGACGTCGACCAGATCGTAGTCGAACTGCTGTCCGCCGGCTCCTGACCAGGACTGAAGAAGGTTGTCGAGTGCGGCTACGACGTCACGTGGCTCGTACGTGATCGCCGTCGCAAGATAGTTGCCCGTCGTACCGATTAGGCCGCTGACTGCGGGACGCAGATCAATGAGACTGCGGGTCGTGCACTTTAGCGCCGTGTTATTGGATTTGTACACCGAGTTGTCGAGTAGCTCCCAAGCCTTTTGCGCGAGGTCCAAGTTCTGGCCCCTGTACCGCCTCTTGACCCAGTTCTGGGTCCACTGCTTCAGGTCGATGGCCTGGCTGCTCCATCCCTGATCGGTGGCCAGTTCGAAAAGGTGCTCGTTGTTGTTGATGCCCTCTGGTACGATGCCCATGCCGCTCAGGCGGCCGCCGTTCGCCTTGGCGTCCATAATGTCGTGGTTCCACTTGTCGAGGGCACCATACAGGCCATCGTTCTGCCCGTAGTTGATGAGCGTGCACCAGAGCCAGCGTCTGCCGAAGAAGTTCTTCAACCGCTTCCACTGGGGGTAGCTCTCAGCCGCAAGGTCTAGAACGAGCAGGCTCTCACCGGCGCCGTCCAGGAAGGCCTTTGAGGCCGTCTCGGTCCAGCTTTTCGGGTCGTTGACGAAGATCCAGCCTTGCATGATCCACGTCGCGTTCGGCGCGACGGCGTGGATACTCTCACGAACCGCCGTCGCAATGCCCTTCAGGTACGTCGGGTCCGTAGAGGTGGGCTTGCTCTCAGTGAACAGGTCGACCATGTAGTAGTCGGATGTGAAGCCATAAAGCTCCTTCTGCTTGCGCAGGAACGCACTCTGCACGACGTTCCACGTGTCCCACTCCGGATCAATGGCTCGGACTTTGGTGTACTCGGCTGGGAAGGACATCCAGGTGGGGTACGTCTTGAAGTCCGGGCCGCCAATGTAGTTGTGAAGCTCGGGGGGGACAAAGCCGCAAAATCCGGGCAGAACAGGCGTCATACCGAACTCGCGCTGGCGGGCCAAGATCTGCTTCTGAAGGTTGTGCTGGCCCTCAAGCCATTGCCAGGTTGTAGTGCCGTGCCAGTTCCCGTGAATGTTGCCGTGCCTCGACCAGCCGTGGAACGCAGGTCCTGTCACCCACTTCAGAACAGCTTCGTCTGGAACGCCGAGGTCCTTCCACACCTGCGCATACACATACTCCTGTCCCGTGTACGCGAGAGGAAGGTTGTAGCCGTGCAGCACGGCCCAGTCCAGGAGGTACTCCCACTTGGCCCAGTCGTAGAAAGCGAGAGAGTACGAATGCGTCACCAGATTGAACAGGTGTCGGTGCTCGGCCCATGAGGAGCCGGACAGGTCTGCGTCGGCATAGGACAGGTCCGAAAAGGTGTCGCCGGACCAGTAAATGTCACCGCCGAGGTGGCGGAGGTACTCGAGCAAAGCTCGGCCGAGACCAGGAGTGCTCGTAGAGGTGATAGTCACCTTGCCGCCGGAAGCCTTCACAGTCCAAGCATCGTGCTCGTTCGACTGGACAGGGGCGGTCACGAAGGTGAACTTGCCTTGCAGGCTGAGGTTAGCGGGTGAGCTTCACTGCGACTCATACACACCTAGCCGGCAGACGACGCTTCACCAGCGCATCAAGGGCCGCGGTGCCCTGCGCTCCACTGTTCGCGGCGGGGCTGGTGACAGTACCATTGGTAGCGGGGCGGTTCGCGTTGCTGGGAATGTTGTTGATAACCGGAGCATTACTGACTGCTGGCGCAGTCTCGTCCTCCAAGCCGCGGAATCGCAGCTGCCCACCAAATGGCTTCGCGCACGCGGCGACGGCCAGAACCAGAAGCGAAATGCGCATGTTGCATGCGGGTGAAGTTATGTTTATCGCGAGCTTATATCTATCGCTGGGAGGTACGCATACCTCCGCGCCTATGTAGGCTGCCGCATCGCTCGGGTCGGTGTCCCGTCTTAGTCCTTAGTCGGATCGCACATCGGGAGTCTTACTCAATCGTACTAGCGCATATCGGAGTGGGAGTGGTGAAGGATATTGACGCGTTAAGCTCTGTCCTGACGTGAACCAAATAGAGCTAGTAGCAGAGTACGTGGGGCTCCGAGCTCGGCGAGGGCGGCGAACATGCCGCACCCTTCTTCGCGTGTAAGTGCAATGTGCGGATCGTGAGGGCCGCCATGATGTAAGCAAAGACGTCATGGAAGTTCAGAAGCTCTGCACACCCCCACCCTCGTAAGTCACATCCATACTCGGGGATCCTGAGCGGGTAGATAGAAGATGAGAGGGGTGTAATCTCGTCCCTTGCCAGTGCGCATGGGGCGGAGAAGAACGCCGATACCGCTATATCTTGGATTCTATCACGGCGGTTGCGCCTTTCGGCGAGGGCGCCGTTTACATCGCTGGGTAGTATCGGCACGTAGGCACCGAGTGGTCTGAGGCAAAGTGCGACCAGTCCGTCATGATGAGGTGCGTGCCAAGCGATGGTCCGAACAGTTCAGATATGCCTACTTGGATGCCTATTCAAACTCAACCTCAAATCACATATAAGTATCTTCAGCTAGCAGATCTCTACTTAGTGTCCGATTTCTCGTCACGACCAGCGATTGGGGCGAGCGGCATTCCCTCATCCGCGCTCTTGACGCCCATCGCCTCAAGCTGCGCATCCTCGAGGCTTTGCGCCTCGCCGAGCCTCGGGTTCTTGAGCCCCCAGGTCAGAATGAAGAGCAGCGACGTGATGCACATGCCAGCGATACAGATCAGCCTCTGAACATCGCGGTAGGCGCCCTCAACGGCCATGCGCTCGGGCGTGCCGACGGGGTACTTCTTGATCCACGCCACGGGGTTGCCGTAAACGTCCTTAGCCAGGGCGGTAGAGTTGGCAATGCCTGCGCTCTCGAGTCCGGTACGTAGCTTGCCCGGCATGGTGTTTGTCCAAATCGCTCCGGAGAGGGCGTTGCCGATACCCGCACCGACCTGGAAGCTGAGCGTTAGCAGGCATAGAGCAGGGGGTCGCTTACCAGGCAGTGAAGAGCGCCGTCACAATCGCGACGTGCTCGTGCTTGACGACAGTCTGAAGAGCAGCCTGGGCCGGGAAGTAGACGAGACCACCTGATTGTCAGCTACTTGCAGAGAGATCGATGCCGGTGCTCAACTCACCGGCGATGCCAAGCACAACCTCGGCGCCGATGACACCAGCGATCTCAGCGTCGGAATGTCCGCCACGGAAGCGGTACAGGAGACCGTAAGCCAGGACGAAGACAGCGCCGCCAGCACAGACGAAAGGCTTCAGGCGGCGGACGCGGTGCACGACGAAGCCGACCGCGAAGCCGAAAGTCGTCTGCGTGAACGAGTAGATGTTCTGAATGCGCGTAGCAGACTCAACCGACCTTAGTGTCAGCATTGAATCAGTTTGTCAACTTACCGGCCAAAAGACACAAGCAGGGTGAAGTAGAGGTAGCTCCCCTGGGAGGTGGAGGCCATGGCGCAGAGACAAGCGATGGCGAGGCAGCAGAGAACGTGACGTTGGCGAAGGAGACGGAAGGGGACGATGGGCTGGCGGGCACCCTTCCACTGCCAGACAAGGAAGGCGGGGAAGCACACGACAACGCCGATAACAAGGGGCACGATCTGTTGAGCCTGCTTCCACTTGGCCTTGGCGCCACCTCCGAACGTAAGAGGCAGCAGCGTAAGGGCCAACGACGCAGCGAGAAGGAACAGTCCCGGCACGTCCACGCTCCAGAAGAGGTCACGCCAGCCGGCACCCGAACGCATCATGGTGCGCGCCGAGGGAACACCGGCCAGCATGCCACGGCGCTGAGCACGGCGCTTGCCCTCCCAGAGTACGAGAAGGAGAGGGATGGTGAGGACGGGTACGGTGATGCTGCCAATGCCGAAACCCCAGTTCCACGAAAGGTTCTGGATCACCTTCTGAGCGATTGTGCCAGACACCCAGGCGTTGACCATGAGATGGAGAGAACTGTTCGTCAGCGCACCCTCTGTAGTCAAGTGACTCACGGAACGAAGGAGAAGACGAGGCGCGAGCGCGTCGACGTCGAGTCGGCGATCAAAACGAAGAACACGACTGAGGTCAGTTAGAGCTCCTAAGCGTGCGGCGGTCTCGACTCACTCTGCTGTCCGGCAAAGGCCAGCGTGTAGAAGACAAAGCCACCGATGTACTCGGGGAAGCTGTCCGCAGTGGCCTGGAGGATACAGCCGATGGCGTAGAAGACAGTGAAAATGCAGATAACGAGGGGACGGCCGAGGAAGTCGGCAAGCTTGGCGTAGATCGGCTGAGTCGAGGCTGCGATCACGGCTCGAATGACACCGAGCGACGAAGTCTGGGCGGCCGCGTTCCAGGAGCTTACGGCTGCGGCTTGGTAAGGGGTGCGCGACATCGAGTCAAGTCTGGGGTCAGAGTCATGTGAGCTATAGGGCGTACCCTCGAGCATCTGGAGTTAGCGTGGATTGGAAGGGAGACAACTCACAGGCAACGAAGAAGAGACTTGCGAAGAGGATCCAGCGATCCCAGCGCGTGAAGGCTGCAACGGTCGCCTCGATGCAGCGCACGCCGTAGGGCTTCTGCTTCTCCTCGGGATCGACGAGCTGCGTCTCGTCGACGGGGGAGCCGGAGCTCTTCTCCCGAGCGAGTTCCGGGTAGAGGTGATCGAGAGTTGTGGACATGGCGTTTCGTAGTCAAACTCCGGTGAAGGAGACGGGAGTATGAAGATTCCAGCTGCACTTTCTTTTGTATCGCAAAGGAAAGGTGCGGAGTAAAGAGCAGAGAGCAAAGAGGAAAGAGTCTGGACTCTGGTTAGACCCGGCAAGGCGTCGAGGGCTTGCGGGCAAGCGCCTATGGTTGTCGGCCGAAGTTGCCGGGTCAAAATTCGGTCCCTGCCAAGACGCGATGCACTTGTTGCGAAAGCGACGTTATCATATCTGATAAGCATCGACGGGTGACGCTAACCTCACATTGCGCACACTCGAGGGAAGCATGGTAAACCTTCGCGTACTGTCTCTACTGAGCTAGGAAGACTCTTATGCTGTCTTATGTGATGACCATGCATCTGTTGCAGAGTGCAGAATGGTCATCGGACCAGGACCATATATCCGAAAGCGGAGGTCTTGGCAAACTCGATATTTTCGGCCGCACAGTTGGTGGAGAGGTCAATCCTAGATCCCCGTCACAATCCTCCCTACGCGCACCGCCCGCTTTGTCAGATCTCCCGCCAAAGCTGATCCTCATCCCCCACCCAAAGTTTGACTCGGGGTCCATCTGGTGGCCTGCTTGGAATGTATTTCCTACTTGCTCGCGACGGAAGAGTAGGGTTTTCCTCAAGGAATGTGCGTAGCGGGGATATTCGGAGCAACAGGAGGGGGTCCAGAACACTGAACCTCGTCCTTTTCCTTTATCTGATAATCCGATGTGTTGACAGAGGCTCATTTCAATGCCCGCAACAAGGGAGAGGTGGTTGTGGAGTTGCTTGTAAGTCAAGGTCGAGATCTCCGGTCGAAAGAGTAGGCTACCCAGGGTAAGCGACCAGGATCTGCGCTGGGCCTTCCGATGTTCCGAGCGAGGGTGTCGAGGTCACCTTGTAAGCATATCACAACTCCTATCACAACATTGAGTTTGAAGCGCCTCATGCATACGCATAATCAAAACGGACGACGGCGACGCAGAAGCATGGAAAGCTACGCCCCGACTGCACTTACTTCGCAGTCGGTGATTGCCGATGCCGATATCAGCGGAAGCAGTCGTTCCTCGCTGTGTCTCGCGTCACCCGGCGATCGGACCGGGCATCATTTCTCAACTCACCACAGATTACTCACTCATCCTTACCTCTAACCTCCCTCACATAGCACCTCATCCTTCTCAAACAGCACAAAAACGATGGCCGCCACACTACAGCTCTACGAGCACAACCCCTCCTCTCTCCTCCCCCTCCTCACGAAATACCTCCCGCACACGCAGGCAGTCCTCGGCGCGATCGTCTCGTGTCCTCCGCCTGGCCAAAGACCACAATCCGCCCTCGACGCACCTCCACTGGAAACGATGTGGGCCTCTTTCCCACCCGGCAGACTTCCCTCCGACTCCGACACGGATTGGCTCGTAGCATTAGCCCTCCCGGCGCCAAGCGAGCAGATCCGCATCTGGCACCGGGCCGAAGTCGAGCTGAACAACGAAGAAATCGAGCGAGTCAAGCAGATTGAGGGCAGCGTGGTCTCTACAGAAGCGCTGAGAGAGGCAGAGTCCAAGGGTGGAAATGACGACGCGGCGTCGCAAGTGATTGAGGCGAGGCGAATCATGCGCGAAATGTATCCCAACCATTTTGTCATGGGCCAGCTGAACGCTGCTTGGGAGCCGGCGCTCAGACATGCCCTCAAGGCTCCGAGCCGAGGAATTTGCCGCGTCTTCTTGGCGCCCGAGGAACTACCCTCGACTGGCTCGGATGCGGAGAGGCTGAGGAAGCTGGGGTTGAAGCTCGACACAACGCGGGTCGGAGATGAGGGCGAGGTGAGTTTCAACACAGGCAGGAGCTGACAGCAGATGTCCCGATTGACGAAGTATCACCCGCCAAAGTACATCCTCGCCAGATCCAAGTATACCACTCTCGTGCGCCCAATTGACGGTGGAGCGCCGGTATGCTGGGTTTTGACTCACGCCGATGGCTCGCTCGGTGCGCTCTACACATTACCGGAGTGGAGGAGGAAGGGTCTGGCGAAGATCGTCGTGGCAGAACGGCTGAAGGCTATGGCCGAGTCCAACTCGGAGGGAAGTAGAGAGGGAGACAGGGCAAGGGCCGAGGCGAGTCGAAAGCTGAGAGCCAACTTGCAGGTCGAGGAACACAACGAGGCGAGCGAGGCGCTCTGGACTGGACTTGGGTGGGAGGCGGCGTCGTGCGTTGCGTGGGTTTACAGTCAGGAGGATCAGGAGAAGTACAGATCCGTGCCGAAGTAGACTATAGTTCCTGCATACTGTACATAGAGTCTACGGGTACTCCTTCTACTCTTCATTCCCTTCTCGCCTACTCCTCTCTCTATCACAACACATTGACTAATAGGGGAAACGCCAAAGGTGCTGCTGCTGAACGAGTTTGAGCTCGCCCTACTCGTCACGCTCTCCGCTCGCCCTTCCGGCTCACATCGCCTAGCACAGTGCCAGAGCCTCCTAGGCCGCAAGCAGAGGCAGGCCTTTCTCCTCTCTCGCCACCTGGAAGGGGTCGCGCATAGAGTTGGTGTGTTCCCTGTACTCGTCTCTGTCCTGTCAGCTTTCTGTTCCTCCGCTAGCTGATACTCACGTGAAGTTGGCTCGGAGCGTGTTCATGCGCATCTCAAGTCCCTCAAGCTGCGCCGCGAGCGCAAGGATGGCGCTCTGATTGTTCTGAATCGTCTGCACGACAACCTGCGGCGTCATGCTCTCGACGTCCGAGGCGAGAGACACGACGGCGCGAGACAGAAGCTGGATGTTGCGCTTGTACCGCGTCACGCGCTCCGCCTCCTCGGCGGCCACGCGCGCGAAGTACTCCTGCGGGAAGTCGCGGTGCGCCACGGGTCGCACACCGGGGTGACGAGCATCAGCGGGCTTGGCCGCCTCCCACGTCTCAAGCAGTTTCTGCAGATCAGCAGCCTGCGCCTGCACCTTGGCCGCGAGGCGCTCGAGGGAGTGCTTCAGTGCATCGAGGCCCTGCGCGATCGCCGCGGCCTCGTCGTGAGCGACCTTGATGTCCGAAGAAGTCTGCCAGATCGCCCTGCCGATTGGCTCTGCGTCGATGGTTTGTCCGACGTGACGCTGGTCCTTGAAGAAAGCGTCCATCTGCTCAATCACCTTCTGAGCGCCCTCGGGGAGATCGCTGAACTTGGCTGTCTTGCTGATTCCGGACTGCTGCTGGGGCTGCTGGAAACTCGTCGAGTTGCCAAGCAGACCGCCGGCGGGCTTGTTGAAGAGCGAGTTCTGCTGCGGCTGCTGGGAGGCGAAGAGACCGCCCTGCTGCTGTTGCTGTTGCTGCTGGGGCTGGCCGAACAGGCCGCCGGTCGCAGGCGTAGTCGTTGACTGCTGGCCGAAGAGACCACCGGCAGGCTTGGCCGCCTGGCTCTGTTGCCCGAAGAGACCGCCGGTCGCAGGCTGCTGCTGAGTCTGCTGTCCGAAGAGACCGCCAGTCGCTGGCGTGGTAGTCGACTGCTGTCCGAACAGACCTCCTGCAGGCTTAGCCTGGCTCTGCTGGCCGAAGAGACCTCCAGTAGCCGCTGGCGGCTGTTGGTTCTGCTGTCCAAAGAGACCCCCGGTAGCGGGCTGCGTCGTGCTCTGCTGCTGCTGTCCAAACAGACCGCCGGTAGCGGGAGCGGCAGGCTTCTGACCGAAGAGTCCGCCCGTGCTCGCCGTGTTCGTTGTCGCCGCGTTGTTCTGCTGTCCGAAACCGCCAAACAGGCCACCGCTAGAGGCTGCCGGCTGAGTTGTAGACTGCTGCGCCTGCTGTCCGAAACCGCCGAAACTAGTACCCGTCGAAGCGGCCGGCGTGCTCGTCGACGCCTGTCCGAAGAGGCCTCCGCCCGCAGGCTTGTTGAAGCTGTTCCCGTCAGCGGTCTTGTCGGGAGGTGAAGCAGCGGTGTTGCCGTGGATGAACTTAATAGCGGCCTTGAGACCTAAACCGGTGCTCCCAAATCCACCCAAGGCCGGAAGTCGGGGCTTCGCGCTAGACATGCTGCCGAACGCCCCAAGCCCTATGCCCTCTTTCTTCGCAAACGGACTTGCGGCGCCGCTGAACGCCCCGAAGCCCGTCAGATTGCTCCGCCCTTTCTCGGCCGGTTCATCAAGTCCACGCTTCTCCTTTGCAGCACTGTCGAACACAGAGCCAGCACCAAAAGCACTCTTCAACGGCGAAGCGGTCGAATCCGAGGCTGAGTCCCAGCCGGCAAAAGCCTGGGCGGCTAGCGTCTCAAAAGTTAACTCGCCCCTCTTGATGGCGGCGACATCGGCTTCGAACTGGGCGTCGATCTTAGCCTGCCGCTCCTGGTGCTCCTTGAGCTCTTTGACCCAGTCATCATCGTCGGCCATGGCAGATCAGGAAGCTGGGCGATCTTCGGAAGTAGAGCGTCATGTAGAAGGAAACAACATACATGCCCACTGGGCGAAGGACGGCGAGCGGCAAGCCGACAGCATCAGAGCGAGGAGCATCATGCGGAACGGAAGGCGAGCCGCAAGCAGGCGGAACAGGGCCAGGGAAGAGGTAGAGCAGGACAAAAGAAATGGAACTCACCCGAAGGACATTGTTTAGGTGTTGTCTGTGCAGCGCTGAGGCTAGGAGGCTTCGAGGCTTGAAGGCTGTGAGATACGTCGAAGGTGGACGTCGTTGTTGCCCAGGCTCGATCACCAAAAACATGGACAGTGGCTTGAGACGTCACTGCAGGGAATAGGCTCGCTGGATTCAAGAAGGCGCCTATTGACTTGGGGGTGATAGGCGCGGACGGCCCTGACCTGGTGATGACCGGGTTGTTTTCGTTTTGGCTCTCCAGTCGATGGTTGGCTCCGCTTGCTTGGCTCGTCACTCCCGCCTTCGGCATCCACCTGCTCGTCAGACCTTATCTCACTCTCTTGCATCTTCGTCTTCGGTTTCCTTTCGGCCCTCGCCTCTTCCCTTCGGCACCGCAAAAGACCACTTAGTTTGGTCAGCACGCTCTCCCAGCCCGGTGCGCGTGCACCCCCACATTCTCCACCATGTCCCTCTCCTCCGACCTTGACAAGTGAGTGAGCTTTCTGTTGCTCAAGCTGACGAAGCGCAGACAGATCGAGCAGCTGAAGCGATGCGAGATCATCCCGGAGGCAAGCGTCAAGGAACTCTGCCTCAAGGCAAAGGAGATCCTCATGGATGAGGGCAACATCCAATACGTCGACAGTCCCGTCACTGTGAGCTGCGGGGTCTGCATGAGCTGACATCAGATCTGCGGCGACATCCACGGCCAGTTCTTCGACCTCATGGAGCTCTTTAAGATTGGCGGTCACTGCCCGGAAACAAATTACATCTTCATGGGTGCGTTGCTGTTTGCCGCCCACCGGGAGGCCTGTTGTTGCCGGTCTGGACCGGGTCCGGCCACCTCGGCCCGACGTCCCTCCCTGTCGAGCTTGACGCCGAACACTATTAGCTAACCCCCAGGCGACTTCGTGGACCGCGGCTTCTACTCTGTCGAGACGTTTCTCCTCCTCCTGATCCTCAAAGTTCGGTATCCGGACCGCATCACGCTGATCCGGGGGAACCACGAGTCGCGCCAGATCACGCAAGTGTACGGCTTCTACGACGAGTGCCAGCGGAAGTACGGATCGAGCAACGTGTGGCGATACTGCACCGACGTGTTTGACTTCTTGTCTCTCGCTGCTATCGTCGACGGGAGGATTCTGTGCGTCCACGGCGGCCTTAGTCCGCAACTGGGACGGTTGGACCAGATTCGAGCGATCGACCGGAAACAGGAGGTGCCGCATGAGGGCGTGTTCTGCGACTTGCTGTGGAGTGATCCGGATGGTGAGTACAGGTGATAGGAGCGAGCTCCAAGAGGAGAGGCGGGTAGCGGTCGGCCAGCTGGGCGGCTCGTAGTCTTGGACCCAGCACAAGCAACTGGTGCCGGGCACTGTAGGCTACGGCGGCAGATAACGATGTCGTCAGCGTCCTCACCGTCCGCCCCACTGTCTCAGAGGCGCTCTCTCCACGCACCACGAAGCTGTTCTTGTTCGGCATCTCGAGCTAACTTCAGACATCCAAGGGTGGGGCATGTCACCCCGCGGTGCCGGTTTCCTGTTCGGCGGCGACGTGGTCGAAACCTTCTGTCACAACAACGATATCGATCTGATTGCGCGCGCCCACCAACTCGTGATGGAGGGCTACAAGCTCATGTTCGGGCAGAAGATCGTGACTGTCTGGTCCGCGCCGAATTACTGCTATCGTTGTGGCAACGTCGCGTCTATTCTGGAGCTGAACGAGGACCTGCGACAGGAGTACAAAGTCTTCGAGGCTGCTCAGCCGGACGTGAAGAGCGTGCCCCAGAAGAGACCGCATATGCTCGAGTACTTCCTCTGATCCCGCCGCTGGAACGGCACACATACCGCCAATTACCGCCAACATGCTTATCCTGCACACCTTGATGCCCTATACCCGGCCCACTGGCCACCACTGCATGACTGCTGCATCTGTAGACGATCCGCTCCCCGCCTCTCAGCGCTCGGATGTTGGATGAATGTATTTTCTATGTTACAGGGAATCTGCTGGACTGCTGCAGAGGAATGCGTTAAATGCGTACATACAGCCTCGAGGCGAGGGGCTAGTCAATGCTTATGCTACATGAAGGGAACTCGGCGTCAGTCGGGACCAGCTTACCAACGTACCAACGTACCCAAGTGTCTACTTGGCTTGAGGGTGGGCGACGTTAGGGAGGCTGCACAGCTCCCTCCAGAACAGCCATGGGAATGATATGAGTGGTCTAATGTTAGTTGCATCAAGCAGGCAGCAACTCACGCGGGGGTGATCTGCGGACCGGAGTCTTGCGCTCTGAGCGGGACGTTCTCTTCCACAGGAGTGCCGCTAAGCATGACGCTCTCGTTATAGAGCGTGTCGAGTACGTCCTTGATGCCGAGTTTCTCCTCCACTTCCTGCTGTACCGCGCTCATGTACGTAACCTGGTACGCAGCGAGGGCGTAGATCTGCTCGGTCTCGAGCGCTGATTTGTTGGCGTCCTTCTTCTTCAGCCAAAACTTTGTCGCTGCCGAGTGCACCTCCTGCGCGAGGCGGGCGTACGTGCGCTTGACAGAGGCTTCTGTGTCTTCCTCGGTGCTCATGCGCCGGTGAGGGTTTCGCATAACGATGCCTGAGGCAACCTCAGTCTCAGTCAAGCGGTGGCGCTTCATGAGTTGCTTCACACCGCTGTCGTGGTGCCTCACATCGTTAATCCAAGCAGTCTGGACCGAGAACTCACTGCTTGAGCTTATAAGCATGCAACAGGTACGACGCGGGCAGCTTATACTTCGCCAGTCGAGGATCAATTTGCTTCTCGGGGTCGACGCGAATGTCTGTCGGGACGAAGGGTGGCTCATTCTTAATCTAGAAAATCAGCTCAGCGAGCTCCCATATGTGAACCGACGAGTTTGTGCAGTTTCCCGAGGATGCGGCGGCTTTCGTATCGCTGCATCGAACGACCACACGCAGCTGGCCCGAGGAACGTAGGCCATTGGCGAGGTTCCATCTGCTATCAGTTCCACATCCTACTGAGGAAACTCACCATTAACGAAAGCTCGGCGGGCCTCCCAGCTGCAGATGAGCACATCAGCCGGCATTGCGTTAAACGTACTGTTCTCAAAGTCGGCGCTTCCGTCAGCGTACTTTCATGTCAAGTCACTCACGCTTTGCGCACCTCGTCGGCGAGCATCTTGCAGTTCTCAGATTGCGGTCCGAATCGATCGGCGATGGCGAGGTGAGCGTCGCACAGTTGCTCGACAATCTGATGTCAGCTTCCCAGCCAGTCACCGGGCGTACATCGTTCTTCAAGTAGTCTAGGACGAACTGCCATCAGCTTCTGCGTCAACTCGGCCCGTTCTGAACCTACATCCGGGAAATGTTTGTCGGTGACCTTTGAAACCGTGGCCGGCTCAGGTGGGGTGTACGAAGATGGTTCGACTTGCTCAGGCGGTATGAGGACGGGATCCCAGATCAGGGAGTACTGGTCACCAGCGAGATTACCTCGGGATAGCCTGGAAGTCAGCAGCGGCATTGACCCACAAAGACTCACATCTGTGGCAACGGCTGGCCCTGGACCGAGAAGACAATGACGTTTCTGAGGTGGTGGAGCTCGGGGCGATCGACAGCGTGGACGAGTTGGATGTCGCCGGGATGGAGTACAGGGTCGCGCATGATCGCACACGCGCCGAGAACGACATTCGGACCATCGCTACTGTCGGGATCATCGTACTGGCAGAAAACCTCGTGTTCGCTGAGCACGTTGAGCTCGTCCGCGATACCTGAGAGGGGGTTAGTGGGAAGCCTTCTCAAACCTCACCCATCAGCTTGACGCTCTGATCGACTTGCAATCGTGCGTTGTGTCTGTAGTCGGAGAGGAGGCGAACAGCAGTAGCGCGACAGATGTCCAATAGCATGGGGTCCGTCTTGAAGCCGAAAGAGTACAGTTCACTGACGGGGAAGTGGGTATGCTGAGACACGAGACTGAGACCCTCTTTCAGCAGCCCGGCCGTCGCCGAACGCTTCAAAAGGCCTCTAGCCTCGCGCATGGCCAAAATGAAGAGACTTTCGAAGACCGCGTCAGGCACTCCCAGGTGGTTCATGATGACGACAGCCTGGCGACTAAGGTGCGCGCGCTTGAACTGGGCGGGCTAAGGAGTCAGAATACGAATCAGCCTCAGACATACCTCAACGATGTTCAAACCATACGCCATGGTCTTGGATCCTGTCCTGTACTTGACCTGGGACTGCCGGAAGTAGACTTCTTCACTGCCGCAGTCAGGCCACACACTAAGCAAACCTTTGACGCCGCCGCATGTGAACTGGAAGGCAGACAGTCCAGTTCCGTCGAATCCGCTCGCCTTCGCCGCCTGTCGAGCTATACCCCAGCCACAGCGCCCAACGCCGTCTGTAACCAAACTGCCGTGTCAGAGTGGATGGGAGCAGGTTGAGCTTACCTGACGTTCTCCATGGACTCCTTGTCCTCAACGGCCGAGATCTCCGTTCGACCTGCGTCAGACTCGCAATATCCCTTCTCCTGCTGATCCGCGTGGAGAATGTCGGGAAGAATCTTCCGCACATGAGAATGGACGCTGACTGCTTGACTTTTCGAGAACGGCTGACGTCAGCCACCAATGCTCGCCAAGACCTAGCTCACGATCGCCATCTTGGAAACGAAACGGGCGACAGTTGTGTCGCGCAGCAAGTCCAGTCCTAAGTTTCGCTTGACAGATTCGACCGTCAGGTTTTTGGCGGGATCTTCAGCGAGGAACCAGCAGCTCTGTTGCCTAGCTGAGGTCGCCCCGTATGCGAGGAAGACATAGTGTCTCCCAGCAATGTTGAGCCCGTTCATCATGGCCCGGCGGACCCGAGCGACCGTGCCTTCCGCAGGCTCCATCTGATCAGCCTCCAGCACCGTGGGATTAACTTGAAACCCGTCCTCCTCGTCGATAAACTCGACTCGCAGAAAGCGGTCTGAGAACGACAGGTGGTTCCTGATTGCGTCCGTAGATGTCTCAACTTCTGGCGGTAGGAGCACGAGCCGTGTGGGAGTCACCAGGCAATGGTATACGACAACGCTGTTCTCATCGAGGTCAGCGTGTATCTTGTTGAGCTGTTTGGACCGAGCTGCTGTTAGCTCCCCGCCTACGATGACAAAGCTCACCCATAACGACTGCATCAATGTTCCGCACACGCTCCTCGTTGTAGAGGCTGCGCAGCACGCGAGCCGCCTTCTCGTCGTCACCCTCGCAGTGCCTATCCAGACACTCCCCGAGCTCCGCGATCTCAGAAGGTATAACGACTCCATGGGTGATGAGACCTTCCAGTAGATAGCGCAGATTGAACCCATAGCCCGCCAGGCGTGACAAGTCCGCGTAGCCTGCGTTCTCCGCGACGGGAACGCGCACGCGCCGATCGCCGGCGTGAGCTGCGAGCATATCTCGACCTTCCTCCTTCCCCTCAACGCCCAAACGCAGAACGACGTCCCGCAACGTTTGCAGATCCATCCTCGACAGCACAAGGTCGAACTGCCATGTCAACCAGGCACTAGCTGGCACGTAGAACGGTTCGTCCGACACAGCCTCGATGGGCCCGGCATGGCCCTCTCGGATGATATATCCTTTGTTCAGCTACAACGTCCCGAGAAGCAGCTTACCTTTGACTTTCATATCTTCGTATGAGCAGCCCTGACGTGTCAGTCTGAAAGGGAACAGCTAACGCACGGGTGTCGATTCCTTCGGCCCCAATGAGAACACGAAGTCGCGTTCAGTCGCCCGCCTCATGATCGCTTTGTTCTTGATCTTGCAGTAGAATCGGGCAGGCCGCCTCGTTGTAATGGTCATTGTGACTCGCGTTCCACCTTCCTTCCCCGGAGCCATGCGAACAACGTGCACACCGCCGGTAGCGATGTCCTACGGTTAGTTTTCAAATTAGGCCATCAAAGCAAGTACACACCTCGAACGGAATCTCACACTCGAGCGGGATGAAGACGGGCGGCGTGGTCGAGAACATGAGCGGAACAGCGCAGACGTAGATCCATCTGCGGCTGAAGTTGAAGAGGAGGCGCGAGTGCTCCTTGTCCGAGGGGGAGCCAAAGCCCTGGGCATCAGTGGAGGAAAAGAAGGCAAAACAGCCCGAACGGCCCCGCAGGTAGCAGAGTCGGTCAGACCCCACCACAACTCGACGACTCACCCGCATAAACTTCAGCGCTCCATCACGTATCCTCGTTGACCCCATTGCGAAGCTAGCCACCGTAAAGCTCTCATCGATCTCCGAGTCATCGCTGAGATTTGGACCCTCATGATAAGTTACATGACCCACAAGGCGGATAACTCACATGACGAAACTGGTGGGCAAGACGAGTGCGATCCGAAGCTGGGACGGTACTGGGTGGCGTGCGCGGCTCGGGGCGCGGCCCACCGGTGCGATTTGTCCACGGCACGTAGCTCATTGTGTCCTTCCTCCATGGCCATGCTGCATCTGAGGCAGCCTACCCGGTCTCCTAAAAGGTTTCGTGATAGTCAGTGATTAAAGGTAGACGCAGGACACCGGGGTCCCGAGCGTTGAGCGAAAAGTCAACCGACCTTAGCGGCGACAAGGGAGTGAAGACGGAGAGGAGGGGGAAGGATGAATGAGAGATGCATGATGATGAAATCGAAGGAAGTACATGTAGCGTTGAGTGGAGGTGACGTGGACGGCGATCAAACGACTGCGACCAAGTGGAGAGGGCGAGGAAGGTGCGGGCGAGGAAGACGAGGAAGACACACACACGGATTGTCTGTTCTCGAAATTGTTATTGCGGGCAGGCGATCGCGCACGGTCGAGCGACCCCCGTGCCTGGGGGCACCGGCTATCTGACGTCAAGGCTGAAGCCGCCGGGTTGCTGAAGCTGACGACCTACATGCAGAAATCAAGAATCGTGCATTCGGCACTGCATGCCTGGGAGAGACACTTGTATATAAGATATGTTGAATACTCCATGCAACCATATATTGACAGCGCCCTATGGGCAGAAGGGGCGGGAGCGACGAGCTGCGAGTCAACGCCGATCGCACGTCGGATCCGTCTACGCCCAAGCGCTGGCGCGTTGCTAAGTGTGCTAAGCAAAACAACGCATGCTCTTCTGCTTCTGTAACATGACTTCTCATGACCTTTGGGCACTACTACAATGACAGCGGGGTATCAACTTCTTCTACGACTTGCTAACTTCAGATCTCAAAGCTTCGCCTTCGCCTTCTCGCCTTTCTTGTGCTCCTTGTACAGCTCCTGAACCGTCTTCTTGACCTCTGTCTTGATGATCTTTCCGTTGTGATTACGCGGAAGGAGGTCATCGTACACGACGACAAAGACGGGGCGGGCGTGGGAGCGGAGGCGACCGTGGGCCGCCTGCCTGATCTCCTCCGCCGTCGTCTTCGGGGCACCGGGACGGAGAGAGACGGCAACAGCGACCTCCTCGCCGAGAATGTCGTGCGGAACAGCAACGGCAGCGGCCTCACCAACACGGTCGTCGAGAAAGACAGCGTTCTCGACCTCCTCGCTCGAGATGTTCTCGCCACCACGGATGATGATGTCCTTGATGCGGTCGGCGACGTAGAGGATGCCGTCCTTAAGGTATCCTGCGTCGCCGGTGTCGAACCAGCCGTCCTTGTCAAAGGACTTGGCGGTGGCGGCCGCGTCGTTGTAGTACTCCTTCATGAGGGTCATGCCGCGGGCGAGGATGAGGCCCTTCTTTCCGTCGGGCAGCGGCTGCTTCGTCTCAATGTCGACAATCCTGACCTCAGTCACCGGGAGCGCGAAACCGGCACCGGCGGGGTTCTCAATGTAGTCGTTTCCACCGAAGACGGTGTGCGCGGCGTTGGTCTCCGTCATGCCCCATGCGGTGAAGCAGTGGATGTCGGGCCAGCGGGCCTTGACATCGGCGGCCATGCGCTCTGGCGCCGGCGCACCGCCGTAGCTCGTGCCAAGCAAAACGTGGTCCTTGGGCAGGTTAGGGCTCTGCATGACTGCGAGCAGAATAGCGGGAACGCCAGTCATCGAGTTGATCTTGTACGTCGTCATGAGGCGGACGGCCTCCTCGACATCCCACTTGCGCATCGTCACCATCATGATGCCATCCTCGAACGCCTTAAGCACAATCGACAGACCAGTCACATGGAAGAACGGGACGGCCATCAGCGTTACGGGCGGGTCGTCCTTGGGGCCAAAGATCAGCTCCTTGATCATGTCGACGACGTGCGGGGCCATCTGGCCAGCAGCTCGCAGACCCATGCGCATAAAACCTGCAGTTCCTGAAACGATCGAGTGGAGAGAGGCACGCTGCGACGACAAGACAGCCTTGGGGTAGCCGGTCGTGCCGGAGGTGAAGAAGATGATGCCGTCGGACTCGGGGCCGAGGTTCTCAACGCCGAAGCCAGTGCCCTTGATTACGGCGTCTTCGGCCTGCGCGCTGGTGCCGAGGTTCTTGAAGTCGATGACATCAACGTGCTTCTTCTTCTTCAGGTGGTCGACATTCTGCCACGAGAACACGGGGCCGACGCCGGCCGCCTTCAGTTTGTCGGTCACAAACGACAGGGTCGAGCTCGAGATGGCATCGGCGAGGATGATCTTGGGCTGCGTGAGCTTAAGGCAGTGAAGCATCGAGTCAGGCTGGACCGCAGCGTTGACGACAACCGGGACGGCGCCAAGCAGGCCGATAGCCGTGAAGGCGATGATCCAGGAAGCGGTGTTGTAACCGATGACAGCCACCTTGTCGCCGGTGCGCACGCCGTGGGCAACGAGCCAGGCAGCAACCGACACGGCCTCCTTCTTGACATCGGCGAACAGGTAGGTCACACGCTCGCTGACGGGGGCCGGCTCGGGGGCCGCGCAGTTCAGCAGCGGCTTGTCGGCGTACTCATCGAGCTTGGCCAGGAAAAACGAACGGAACGACTTGGGCGACTGCGTCTGTCAGCTGACATTGTCTCCACATTGTGCATGTCAGCGTGCGCCGAAGGAAACGCTGGGGCCACGCAGTGATGAAAGAGGCGCTCGCCGACGGCTTGCGGAATGCTATCCGGGGATGCGCCTCGGCCATTCTACACCGTCCCCTCGCCCCATGGGGTTCCAGGGGAGTCACCGCCGGCCGGCGCCCACTTGGGACGTCCGTGCACTCACGTTCTTCCACACCGTTGTGGGGCGGCCCTTGATGTTGACCGTCTCGAGCTCCCAGAGACTGCCAGGCGTGCAATAAAGCTTGTCGACTGTCTGTCAGCTTTCTGCTCTCCAGTGATCGAGGAGCGTGCCGACAGCGAGCTGGCTGGTTGGCATTGTCGCCAGACTCACTCTCAGCAATGGGCAGAGGCACGGGCTTGGGCTCGTCGTCGGCAGACATGGTGGACGATGTATGAGGGAGTGTCAAAGGCCAGAATGAACGATGCGCTCGGGGAATATATTGACATGCAACCGGCTGCCCCAAAGTGAACAAGGAGACTAACCCAAAGCTAAATCTCGCCGGATCGGATACAAGGAACCAGTAACCGGGCTTCAACATCTAAGTTCGGACCATCACACCCCACTCCTCCAGGTCGTCTTCTCGATCACGAAGCCTGCGCGGCTTGGCCGTTACATAGATCTCGACGCTGTGTACCGTGTCTATGCTACCTCAGAGACCGTGCATGCTACTGACAGCGCTCTCAGACCAGTTTATTGAGAACGGTCACACGCCCAAGATCCCAAAACCTGCTCTCCGCAATCCGCATCTGGGGTGCCTATTGTTTTCTTCGGCCACCTCCGAGAATTCATGCCGAGATACCGAGACGCTGTCAAAGGCGCGTTCTAGTCGTCCTAAGCCCGATCCCGAGGTTCTTAACACATCATGCTTAGCACACTAACGCTCTAGCGTGCCCGTCTGTCGAAGGCGGTCTTCTCACCATGCTCGGACTTCTGTGACCCACGCACATGACTGTCGGCGACCGCCGCCCATGTTCCCCACTATCCCGAAGGTGAGCGGCCAAGACCGCCGCACTACCAATGACTGGCAGACACTAGCCAAGCCTTGCCCTTGTCTATAGCATGAAGAAACCTGGCTAGCACGTCGATGAAGCATGCATGAACAGCGTCTACGGGCCGGAACAGTCATAAGCGGCCTCAGACCCTCGGCGAGAGCCCCACTGCTCTCTGTAGCGCACAGGACAGAACCTGGATAATGAGGGAGTGTAGACTAGCTCGCTCTAGCTTCTTGGGAGCTCCGCTGACATAGCCGCCGGCTATGCAGGGCACGTGAGGAGCTGAGCTGGCGCAACAGCAGTGGATGCTCAGAACCTTCGCCAAACAACGTTTTTGGTTGCTTTCTCTACGTATCTTCCTCCCCCAAGACCCAGACTAACCTCACAGCAACTGTTGGAAATCACGTGATTTTGTGCCAGTCTTACGATGCCTCGAGGCCTCGTTGCAGCCTTATTCTCATTTCTATTGTCCTCAAACTCTCGCTTACTCAGCTCACTCCTCGGCGCGGTGGCAAGCACTCGGCGCAGCCCTATTGTTATATAGCAGCCTGTAGATATATAAACGGCTCTCTGAGCGTGCAATGAATCACCATCTCCAATCAGTTCTACTACGCTCAGCCTGCCAGATCATCGATCCAGCGGCATCACGAGCCTAAGTTCCCAACAGATTAAGAGTCACAGGCCTCTACTGCATCACAGGAGCATCGTTCCTTTGCATAGACCTGTCGTCTAGGAGATCACCGCCGTCCTCTGCCACCGGGCACCGACCACCGTTGTCCTCATCCGGCTCCACACGGCTCTACCGACTACCCGTCGACGTTTCCCAGTGCACGCTGCACTTCGATCTCACCAAGCCCGACTCCTCCGCGTCTCGGCACACGACTAGCACCTATAAGCCCGATCTCAGCCATCGGCATTGCAGTCAGACCTGACCAGTCCCCCGGCAGCGGTCCTGACGACGATAAGCCCGATCCGCTCGGCACCTCGTCCCGACGACAATAAGCCCGATCCGCTCGGCCACTCGTCCATACGCCTCACAGCACGAAAGCCCTGCCATACCCGTGCAGGCAACCGATCCAGCTAGTACCTCGGTTTGCTAGCATCAGCGTCGTTGTCCCCGCCACAACCACGTGTGCCACCACGCACAACCAGCGTCGCCTCGGCTCCACTGCCTTGTTTCAGCTACGCCTCAAACCCTTGCGCCCTTGGCTCGTACGCCTTGATCAGCCGTAAGGTGCAACACGTGTCTCACTCTCCCACGGTCTCCTACACCACTCCGCTGCCGACTTACGACACGCCAACTCAACCATGTCCGGATCGACGTCCATCCCCTCGTGGGCTGATCTCAAGGACAACGTCCCCAAGCTCACGAGCACCACCGATTTCGAGCGATGGGAGCACGCTGTCCGCGTCTATTGCCTTGGCAAAGACGTCCTGGAGCACATCATTGATCATACGCTTGATCCTTACCGGGTCGCTCCGATGCCACACACCAACGTCGACGCCTATCCTGAAGGCTACATCGCTGGTGTCTCGTCTCCCAAGGGTCGTGACATCGCGGCTCACATCATCCGGGAGATCGTCATCGACGAACTCGACGAGGACGCCACCAACGCTCAGATCAATGCCGCCGTCCAACAATGGGGTGCCAACCGTACACTCACTGACGACCTGCTCACCAAGTGGTCCGTTTGGGCCCGCCGTGAGCGTCTGGCACGCACCATTCTCCTCTCCACCATCACTGAGGATGTCGTAATCGACTACGAGCGCCTTCCTACGGCCCGTTTCATCTTCAGTGCCGTCGAGTCTCGCTTCAAGACCCTCAATCCTGAAAGGGCTTCTCTCCTTCAGCGCGAGCTCCACAGCCAGTACCTTCCCCGCGGCGCCACTGCAGACGACGCCGTGACCTTCTACGAGAAGTTCGTGCACATCTACGCGCAACTCTCACGTCTCCAAGTCGCTGTCAACGATGAAGACAAGGTCGCCATCATCCTTGGCGCCTTACCGACTGAATGGGCCGTCCTCCTCCGCTCCCAATGGAGCACGGAGACCAGCAAGACCTGGTCCAGACTCACGTCCGTCTTCTCAACCTTCATCGAGTCCATCCGTGCGACCGAAGAGCGCGAGCTCAACGGTTCTGTCAGCTCATTCAAGGGCGCACCTGCACGGCTCACCTCAGCCTCCAAGAACGACAAGCCCAAGAAGAAGTGCAAGCACCATCCTGGCATGACTTCTCACGACACCAAGGACTGTCGTCTCGGCAAGAAGATAGCCAAGGACAAGGAGAAGAAGAAGAAGGAGAAGGAGAAGAAGGAGAAGAAGGAGAAGGAGAAGACGGCCTCCGTCGCCGCCACATCAG